ATAGGAAGGTTAATAGGCGATAGGCCGCAGAGACTAATCTTACCTTCAGAAGGAGGTAAGGCATACTATTAGCTTGAGGGCGGCTGATCTGCTTACTCTGTTTTCTCCTCCTCTGTAATATCTGCCGATCTTTCTCGTAATCCTAGTATTCGGAAAGGTCGTTAGTCGGACAGAGCCCTAGGCGGTCGAAAAAGGCCTTTAAGGGAAGCTAGGCAGTATGTACAAAGCAGGGAAATCGCTCGGGACGGCTAGCTCGATTATGCTCCGCGATTGCCTCCTCCTTATCCTCTCCTATCTCCGAGTCGGGACTGCTCTCCGTACCTTCCTCTAAGCTCGTTGCTAGCCTCCTAGCCGTTATACCGTACCTCTCTTAACAAGTATCAATCGCTGAAACACTATAGAATATTAGAAGGAAGTAGGAAGAGTAAAGCAAGTGGTCTTACATCGTATTGTATAGGGTCTTATTGTTCGAGGCATTGTCGTACGTAATTGCAGTCAATCGGTACTCAATCTCGAACTCTTGTAAGATTTCGAATAGTATCTCCGTAAGGTGATTACCAGTATAACGGCTAGTAATATATAGAAAGCTAAGCATCCCTTCGTGCTAGACCTAGTAGTTGTCAATCCAGTAGACCCGGATAGTAAGGAATAAGGTTTTCATACCTCTGGATTGCTAGCTATCACACGCGATAGCTATCTTGAATCTACTAGTAAGACGGGTCTTAAGGGATTCAGCAGACTCTTGAACCTTAGTACCGAGCATCCTACGGTATATCGAGGCGGATTTGAACTGAATTGTCTCGACCTGTCCCGGGAGTAGGGCTATATAAGTCTGTTTTACTGACGGTCGTTCAAAGAACTGGAATAGCAGACTATTGTCGATAATCATCTCGAAGGATAAGCGTAGGAAATCGTCCGGTGTATAGCCTAGGTCCCTCGTCTATCGCGGATTGCTTATAGTCTAGAGATAAAGTTTCAGTATAGTTACTCAGACGTAGTCGGTAGACATAGTCGGCAGGTATGGTCGGCAGGCATAGTCGGCAGGTCTGGTCGTCGGTAGTCAGTACTTACTTGTCGATGCTTTGCGGTTGCAAACATCTCCTTCGTAAACCCTCGCTTATCTTGTTTCTCCTAGCAGTTCGAGGAGTCCAGATGCTTCTCGACAGACGTTGTACCGGTATTCAGTACAGGATGTTTTAGTATAGCGTTACAGCACCTACATACGACTTTGGGTGTCGTATCTTCTTGAAGCATTCCCTCCTCTAGGAAATCCTATACCTAAGATGTCCGAGACTTACTCCCCTAGGTAACTAGGGACCGATCAAACATAGTACGACCGTTCCGCTTTTTGAGCCGCTTCCTAGTATAGTTCCACTAGCGTACCTCGTACTACTTCTCAAAGTTCTCCTTATACTTGAACCTCTATAGCTAGCAGTTGGCCTTAATATCCTACTCCCCGATATAGTCCGGCTTAACGGGGAGTACTAGAGAGGAATCTAGATCTTCTTCCACTATAGTCGGCCGTCTTGTACGACGCTTGCGAACCTCTGTTCTACGTCGGCGGTCCCCTGGTGTTAGGCTCGGTAGGAGGTTCGTCGCGGAACTATATCGTTGGCGTAAGCGAGCGCTCGATCGTATAGGGGTAGCAGAAGAGCTTCCTAGCTGCGAGGAGGATTCGAATCGGGAGCTTCCGACTCCTAGAGAGGAAGCAAAGGAAGACGAAAACATAGTATTTCAGACTCCGACGTCGTGAATCCGTTACGAGAGGATAGAGGAGAGGGAACGTAGGAATTGAAAGGAGGGAAAGTAGGAATTTCAGAATCCTAGTACGCTACCCTACAGGGGTTGAGCGAATAGAATTCGCAGGCCTACTTCCGGCTGCGAGCCAACCTATTAGATAGTCTGATTCTTACTACCAACCCTCCTACCCTTTCTTCTATCCCTCTTCGTCTTCTTAAAACAGGCGAGGCTCCTAGTCCTCCGAGTCTGAAATCTCGAACCCTCTAACAAAGTTGCGAATATAGAGTCCTTCGTAAGTACCTTCTCGATTCCCGAAGATGCTAGGTATAGTTTATCTTCTCGCAGTAGTAGGAGTAGAAAGGCCTCTAGAGTAATCCTATTATACTCTTTGACATTGCACTCGATAAGGGCAGCCATTATCTTAGGCTAGAGAGTCTGTTCGCGGCTCAGAGTATTCTCCCTCTTACAGAGCTTGTATGCTATCTTCGCGAGGTACTTCTCCCCTTTCAAGCTTACTGATAGAAGGAAACTATTGGCGGAGTAGTTATAATTTTCTGGTATCAGCTAGGAGGGTCTAGGAAGACTACTTGAATAAGCCCTTTAGGCTGCGACATCCTAGGCAAGGATACTACGGCAGACTGCGCGCTCGATTAAGCTGAAAATCTCGTATAGCAGTAGGAGTCGTACTTCTCTAACGCAGATCTAGGATTATTAGAAAATGGTCGGTAGGTATGGTCGGCAGATGAGCTTACCTTTTTAGTCTCGCTGTCGACAATTTGTGAAATCTGCTTTATAGCTGCCTCGTCAGGGAGAACTAGACTCTCCAGAGTAACAAGTTTGTTCTAGAACTTCCGGATCGAGCGATGCTATTGGTTATAAGCAGTCGCAAAAGTGGAAGAGGCTGCCTGAAAGGCAAAAGTTCCAACAGAGTTCGCTGTCTCCTTGTTAATCTCTTTTGATAATAAAGGATTGAGAATCGTTTCTTAAGGAAGGCATTCGTTGCTAAGGCCCCTAAGTGCTTTATCGTATCGTTCACTAAGGGTGAGGGTATCCTATTCCTACTCAACCTGATCCTCCTTTTGAAATGTTATCTTTGATTTGCTTTTACTATCTCCAAGCTTAAGGAACTAGTCAGCTTCATCGATTTCGGCCTGTTCGTCGGGTAAGAGAGCTAGATTAGTCTCTGCTTGCTTCTTAGTACTAGAGAAGTTAGCCTTTGATAGGAAGTAGGAATACCGACCGCAGATGCCGACTATAGACGCCGACCACGAAACTTACGCTTTCCGGTTATATTCTGCTGTATGCATCGATCTCTATTCCTTAACTAGGGCAGCTTAACGGTCCCTACTCAGCTCGCTAAACTCGCTAGACTGCTTGATCTAAGCCTTCTTGAACCGTACGAACGATTCATTGCGAGCCTTTCTATATCGATCCTAAGCTCTCTTCTCTTCGTCTATAGCGGCAGTACGCTCGCGCTCCCGTAGGGTATTCGGCTTTAGAGAGTATTCTTCAAGTAACTTCGCAGCTGCCCCGAGCCTAGTACGCTTATTTTCCAGCGCCTCTAGCGTAACATTCTTCCGTTTCGGCATAGTGGTATCGGTACGGAGGTAGGTGCGGACGTAGGTAGGGATGTAGGTACGGAGGTAGGTACGGTAGTGCGTGCGGTAGTACGTACGGAGGTAGATGCGTAGGGTAGAAGCGCTTTGAGAAATAAAATTTCTCTTATCTAAGAGATTTAAGGTTTAGGCAGCAGCCGGAACCCTGTCCCGTGACCCCGAGCACCGACACCACCCTCTATAACAACATCACACTTCCGCGCCTATACTAAGCTCCTCTGCTACTACTATTATCGTCGATTTCCTAAGTGCCCCCCCCCCTACCTAAATTTTATTTCGAATATAAGTTGTTGTCGCTTCATTCGCTATTACTAGGACAACTGCTATAGGGTATTATATATAAATACTACATTATCTAGAGAAATAGTTAGACTACTAACTTCTCAAGGTATCGTAGTACTTTCTAGTAAAAAAGTGAAATCTCGTAGCTAGAGTAGAACGTGTTCGGCAGACGTAGTCGGCGTATAAACCATATGACATAATATGAAATATACTAGTGTAGATATATATAGAACCCCTGTCCTGATTACTAATTACCTTCCCGCGCGATCCGACATACTCGAGAGATAAGCGGCTTAGCGATTTCCGGGTCTTCCTTATACCTACCAACTTATCCTCTCTTGCTTTTTTCTTATCCTACATATTCCTACCAAGTCGAAACTCTCAAAATGC